AAGTCATGGACGGAGTGCTCAAGCGTGTCATCCTAGGAGCCCAGCAAAAATCTGAGGCCTGACTACAGAAGCTAGGCAAGGAGTCCAGTCTGCTTCTAAGGCAGGCATGTGCCCTGAGCCTCCAAAAACTTGCACCAGGCGAGAAACAGCAAAAGTCCCGCAGGCTCCTATTCATTTTTGATTTCCCTCCATTAAACCTCATGTTCCGCTTCGTCTGTGCCTTTGGATGGTGGAAGCCAGCTTCCTGCAGGCTGCAAGGTTCTATCATGTTTCGCAAGAAGACACTCCTGACATGAACCTGCTTCGGTTGTACGATGTTTCTTCCAGGGAGTAAGCATGTAGCAGTCTATCAGAAGCAAGAGCAAAATCGTTAGACCACAAGGATGCTGCGCATACAGGAGGTCTTCTCGTTCAGACACACCTATGCGCGCACTGGAAAGCTAGAAACAGCCTGCAGACCCAAACTCTCTAAAAGCATTTTGCAAGCCTAAGCCCCCAGCCCCAAATCCTGATCCGAAGCACTGAACTTGAGGCACTAGACTCGAAACACCAAATACTGAACTGAAGCCAGCACAGTCCTCCAAGGAGCTCAAGTGTTTCAGCTTGGCCTGACACAGCATTATCCCCATGGTGGGTTTTGAGCCCGTCGTCTGCATTTTGGGGGGGACTTGGGGCTTTGGGTTTTGGATTTAGGTTTGAGGAAGGATTTGGTCAAATGCCTGAGGCTCTAAGGATCAGTAAGCAGCGCAAGACACGTAGTAAACATTCAACCCTGGGCCCTAAACCCATACCTTTTTGGAGGACAAGCCGCGTAGTTTGTGGAAAGGCTCCCGATATGAACCACCCTCCTTGGCCGAATTGAAAAGACAGTCTCGCTTTGAGATGACGTTCTAGTGAAGTCAGGCAAAGTTTTTTAAAAAGGCCGGAAGGGGAGGAAGTCCCCCCAAGCCCAGCAGGTGAACCTACAGCCCACCCGGTAACTGCCATCCGTAGTCTAGCTCGCAAATAGCTCTTGGACGGGAGCCTCAAGCCCCATTCACAAGGCTGATATGGGCTGTAACGCCATATGAAATGTGTATCTCACGCCCGAGAAAGATAGACAATTGTCTAGACCATGACCCCCAGTCCGTCCAGAGCTCACAGTCACCTGAGACCCTGCGCAGGCTCTAACAGCTCTAACAAATCTCAACCATGAAGCTGGCCAGATGCCAAACGGAAATCTTACGACCTAAACTCCAACCTCCCGACCCTTGATCCCCACGAAGAGGCCTACACAAGTAGAATGATAGAATGAAGCTTTGGAATAGATTCTTGTTAGATACGCATTGGTGACATTCGGGAAGTAAAAGTGATGACCTATACTTAGGCCTCCATATTACACCTACGTAGACCTAGACTCCAAGACCCTGATGTGCCTCCTTCGGTACTCCAAACATCTTTCGCAGTTCCGACTGTGAGCGATGAAGTTCATCAGGCTTTGAGGGAATTCAGGATGCAGAGGAATGTCATCAACAGCTGCGGCGATACAACAGCAAGTAACCGTGCAGTTAGTAAATGCTCTTTACAGCCCATGATCATGAGATGAAACATATATAAACAAGATACAGTGCCGACAAGGGTTTGAGGGTCAAAGACTGTACTGTCAAGACAGAGGCGGAATCGAACTTGGGGAACATCTGGCTTCAGGCTTCGGTGCTTTTCGGTCCAGGGTCGAGGTGCTGGGTCCTTGGCAAGTATGAAGCGGTTGCTTTCACGCAGCATTATTGTCCTCAACCTTGCACCCCAAATCCCCACACCTCCAACCCCCTAAAGACCCAACAGTTTCGACCATCCCCAACACCGCCCAAATCATCATTCCCTAAACCTCGACCTAGCCTCCAAAACGCCAATTCCTAAACCCAAAACCAAAATCCCTGAACAACCCAATCCCTTCTCAACCCCAATCCCTACACCAGACCAACCCTCAAACCCCAAGACCCGGCCTCAACATAATTGAGCCTCCGCCGAAGAGTTTTGTGCTCGGAGATTGTGATTGACCTCATGGCATCGCGCTACTACTAAGGATTACTTCTTATGAGTCATAGGGATATCATCGGGTTAGGGTTTGGTAGGCTAGAAAAATCTGTGTGATTCCAAAAGTCCCTTCTGCGGGTAGTGTACGGGTAAATCCTTTGAAAAACTCGCATTCAATTCTGCTCTTCCTCCTGCTACTGATGATGTTGACGATGATCAATGCTATGAACAGCATCCTACTCTCTCTCTCTCTATATACAAGCGACGATTCTACAGCACGGGCACTTCTCCGAATCATACCCCCCCCCGTACACCTTCCAAGTGACATTGATTCCCCTTTCACTTGCATCCGAAAATGGACTTGTACTTTAGCGAACCCTTGAACTGGCGAACGAACCCTTTACCATCTCCATAAACTTCCCAGGGAACCCAAAGTGACAACCGCGCTGGCCATAACTTTGCACCCCAAGGGCTTCAGCATCTCGACGTCTAGTGCACCCGCAGGAGTGTCCATGCGAAGATCTATCACCTGATTGCAGTGTAAGCGACTAGCGTGTAGGGCTCGCTGTTTACTATATTTGGGGCTTGGGGAGGTAAGTGCGCGGGCTCCTTAAAACGGCTGGCACATTCCTCTAATTTGGGCGTAGCTGGACTTTCTCATTGCACTGCCATCGCGAGAACCACAGCAAACATTCCAGCATGGGGTACGATTAAGGCTAGTGAGATTCAGAGCTCTTTCGTCAGTCTAGTGTAAGCTTTCGATTAAGGTACCGCTGCCAACTTGGAGGTTCATGGGAACTCAACTTGGAATTGAGGCAGTATTACGAAGCAAATAGGGGACATCTACTCCCACTTACGACTATCCATGACCCTACAAGTGGGCACACGCTCTGCCAAGCTGTTTAAGGAGCACAAAGACGAACATTTCCATGCGAAACAAGAATCCCATTCTCCAAAAAGCACGAGTAACTCCTAGAATGTCAGCCCTCATATCCCCTTGTCCTCCGTACTCGGCAGTGTATCCCCTCATCCTGCCCTTTCACCCCGAGGTAGGGTGCTACTTGAGGATTGCTGCAAGCTTTAAATTTCTTGCTAGCGGGCCCGATAATCAATTATGAAAATGAGCGCATGCAGGATGATCATGGCTTTCAGAAATTATCACTCACTGCTTAAGAAGAATGTCTGGAAGTAGCAAGCATGCAGCGGGCCTGCTCAACAAACTCATCAAAGGATAAACCGTCCTGTTCATGCACGCGTTCAGGCTTGAAAACAAGTTTGGTACCATTCAGTGTATTCGGATGCAAGGCCTCAGGTAGCAACTTTGAAGCCCTGCGCCGGTGCTTTTAGCTTCAAACGATGCATCCTGAGACCAAAGCACCCCCTTAGCATGACTTTTCCGCTTGCAACAAGTGGATGTGGCAAACTTATGACTCAATTTCTGTCACAGATCTGTGGGTTGCGGTGTGCGGGGTGGATATCAGGAAGTCAGAAGCCCAATTTCCTGGCGTGTTGTAGTACCCCGGAAGCACTGCACACTGTTGTCAAGCCTACCTGATGGCATGAAGCCTAAAGATGCCTGAGCCCTCCCTTTTCTGCTACGGTATATATACATATCTTTGTACAATCAATCAATCTATACCAGCAGATACCCGTCTGCAAGCCTGGAGAAATCACTCAAAAAGCCATCATCGCCTTAATCAAGAGGTAGTTTAAACAACTCTGTACACTAATCTTAGCCTTTGCAGCATGCAGCATGGCCCCTGATGATGACATGATTATATTCTGTCTGGGCTGCCTTTAACCCGGAAGGAACCATTATGCCTTGTAGAGGCCATTCTTGCATGGCCGAAATTCAGAACCGTGCTGACTGGACAGGACATGTACCATCATGAGCAACATTCCGAACAAGTCTTCTGTAAGGCGGACCAGCCAAGGGCAAAGTGTCACCTTTGGTGCCCGTCTGTAGGCGCCGACAGAGGCTCCGATAGAGCAGCTCCTAGAAAAACCCGCATAGCTCCTAGCTACTTCAGCGCCTAAGAAGGATTTCGTGAGACACCCCTGCACCCACCTTCAAAGTGTTCGGAAGATAGCTGTCATAACTCGACCTGGTCTGAAAACCTAGCAGAGCAGTAGTTAAATAACTACATGGCAGCATAAGCAACCAAAAGCCAGAAGACAAACCTTCAGGAATCCTCCTTGGGAACAGAGGCCCTCAGAAGACCCGCACAAACCAAAAAGCGAAGCAAACTTGTACCAAGAGAGTGAAGCCTGAAAATACCCTCCAGAAAGGCATCAGCAAACATGCAGCAGAATCCTCTGTGATTCGAAGTAACTCCCCCTAATGAGTCCTCAATCCTAAACTTGCAATCCTTAATCCCACACTATATCCCGCAACCCCTAGCCAAGTTCACCAGGCTCTTGATATTTGAAGCCCCAACACCCAGGGGATCCTTGCGCTCGTCCTCCTCTTGAGGCTCTGCCTGGACGCTCACGCAGCCAACTTATCAAGAAGACAATGTCAATATTCATTCCGCGGCTGTGATTGCATGCTACTGTTGTCCGGTTGTCTGGCTTCTGTCTTGTCACCCCTGCACCCGAAGTCACACCCCTGCACCCGAAGTCACCATGGCAGCAGCGCGCCCGCAGCGGCAGAAGCTGCAGCAGCACGTTCCATCCAGCACAACTTGAAGAGCAGCCAGTGCTGTAGGCGCCCACTTGGAAATTCGCACCATGTCACCCACTCAGTGTACGGGCTACATGCAAAGCACTACATCGAACATGAAAGGACCCGCGAAGTAGCCTGGATGTGCCAGGATATGGAAAGGCTGGTTGAAATCCAGGTGAGTTGTCAAACTCCGAAATATGCGAAAGCCTGAATCCCTGAATCACAAAACCCAGAAACCTGAACTTGAAAGAGGGCAGCTGTTCAGGGCAGGCACATCACCCTTCCTCGACCTCTATGGCATAGCAGGCAGCCTATGATCCGCCTACAGCCGCCAGAGCACCCCTTGTGCCCAACCGAAAGACCTGAACCAACAGAAAATCCCTCCATGACCAAACTTCTTTCCCGAGATCCGGGCATCTTCACCCTGACCACCGCTCCGGCGCCCGAAGAGGCTTTCTTGCATCTGCTTTAGCCGCTCCTTGCCGCTTGTGGGGCATTGAGGAGTGCAAGTTTGACGGTTTGGGTTCAGGGCTTGGGGGTTAACAAAGGATGATCACGCCGAAGCACAACAAAAACCAAAGAAACAATGACCAGGGATTTGATAGATTCAGCACCTTACGACCACTAAAGGTACATCCTTCTGTTTTTGTACTTTGCGCGCTGCTTGTTTGGTCTCCAGCGGGGTATGGGAATGGATGATCACCGAGCAAGGTCGTGACACCCCAGATGCAGTTTGGTTCCGGCTAAAGATCCTTCTCCCAGAAAAGTAAAACTGCTCTCTGTAGATGCTTTAATGCCCAGGAATCATAATTTGAATGTCAATAACCACAAGAACCACTACCGGAACCTTTCAAACCTACAGATCCTGCTTCAGTCCTCGTCATTAGAATTCATTAGCTGGACCATACAACCTTGAGCTCCTACCCACACACCCAAAACCAAGTTGCAATGACATGATTACACAAGAAAATCCTCTCATATAGTCCAAGACTCCAGTTGGAATCCTAAGTTCTGAGCCAAAAGCTAACGCATAACAGCCTAAACCACACAACGAAGGTTGAAATCTTCAAATCTAAGCCCTTGCATTCAAGCCGAGCCCCGGAAGCCCAAACCCTAAATCCCACAATCCAAAACCTCCCTGCAATCAGAAATCCGATGTCTCGTCTTATCCTCTGAAGCCCGCTCTCACCCTAAACCACTCATCACTACACCCCAAACACATCTTTGGAGCCCTCCTCCATCATACTCTCCTCGACCCCGAGCCTCAGTGAAAAGAGGCCGATGCCATCCATTCTCAGGGTTCTGCTTTTAGGGCTGCGGCTGGATTTTGGGGTCTCTATGAGGTCTTTGCGGTTTTGCACGATTTTGGGGGTTTCTATGAGGTCTTTGCGGTTTTGCACGATTATCTGGGTGCAGAACTAACTAAACTTGATTTTGGTTCTTAGCTCGCCCCGAAAAGTTTCAGTAGAATGTACTGTTGAGATCCCGAGCAGCAAGCACTGCTGAGAAGTGGTCAAACCACAGAAAATGGCGATGTCTTGAAGTCCCCTGTTACGCATACATATTCAACATGCTGCTCAACTGGCGGACTACACGCAACTACCCCGAAGCCCTGTACCGAAACTGAAGCCCCCAAAAGCTCCCTCAACCCCATAGCCTGGGGTCATTGCTTCAGGAGGGCAGCTTGCACCCGCTTGTTGGTGGCGATCGTCGCCCACTCTTCCTCACAGGCTGAACTGGAAGATGCTCTGGTGGGAGACTTTGTGTATCTGCAGGTTGGGGGGTCGATGTCTCAAAGTTTGAGGCCTGACATTGCTGGTTCATGTCCTGAATCATGATGGACAAGATTTACACAGATACTGATGGATTATGAGGTTTTGTGATTCTTGGCGCTGCAGCCTTGAGACATTTCGGGTACAATATGACTATTCCATACTCTCACATGAGTTTGGCGATAGTTTCTGTGAGGCGTACGTTGCAGCATCTCCTGGCTCCAGGCCACGTTCCAGTCAGCATGGGGGTCTCCATGGTCAGTGGCCACGGTGCCTTCTCGGCAGCTGGTTTTGCAAATAAGGCTCTCTCGCTCTCTCTCTCTCTCTAGACAAAGGACTAAACTAAATATTTTGGGAGGGTATACAAGATACAAGGGTGGGTGGTAATTTTGGAAAGACAAAACGCTCTAGTTCTCTATCCCGAGTCTCGGTCGTGAGAGCTAAGCTACTTTCCGTTATCCCGGTCCTTCATCCAGCCCCTCCCATCCTTTCCTCCAAAGGATTTTCCCACATTTCATCCACCGTCCATAGCACTAAGAGCTTATGTTGGCAATGCAATGTGGCAATGCAAGACCGGAGTCCTCGCAAATAATCCCATCGCCCGACTCGTCCACTGCCGTGAAGGCTTCAACCAAACAAATCTGGCAAAGGCTGGGATTTGGGACAAAATGGGCAGATCCTTTGCGTTCTTCTGTGTGGAATCAGAAAGGCTGTCCAGATGCTGTTGAAGCGCTCTGGTGTAATAGGTGACATGTTGTTTCTCTAGACCCCTTCAAGACAACTTCCAGGGTCTGAGGAGGCTTGATAGAATGACTGCAGGGGAGACTCAGCAGGCCAGTCTACAAAGTTATCCCCTGCCTCAGCCGCAAAACTGAGTCGACCCCAAAAGCCTAAACCTTAACGAGAACCGAAATCTCTATACTCTTAGAGGCCTGAGCTTTACTCCATGGACTCCGAATCCTAATCCCTAATCCTTGGACTTGAAACCCCAAAGCCCTAAACCCCAGAATGATGAAGAACTCCATCCCTCATCGGCGCCTTAAGCTCATTCAGTTGGCGCCTTGAAGCTTGGAGTGTTTTGGGTTTCTTTCGTATGGCTGCGATACGTCCTTCGAAGTCTTTAAGATGCGTTGCAGAAGAGCGTTGTCAGGCATGGGCGTGATCTACAAATACGCAGCCCGGCCCATGTCTTGCTTTGGGTTCTTTAGTGTTTAGGGTTTAGGGACTTGGCTGTAAGCTCATGGGTTATGGTTCAGAAGCCAGTATGAGCTTTGAAGGCTTAGAAGAGGGGTTAGGGTAGATTGTAAGATGTTTTCCGCAGGAAGATAAAGACCAAGGAATACTGTAAGGAATCGCTGGGGCTGCGATGTAGGCCTTAAGATCTTAAGCGTAGCGGAACAGGTGGGGTGACAAGACAGGATTAAGCCTGGGTATGGGGTCAAAGCTACCACGCCAGCTGGGCCTAAGAACTCTTGGGAACCCTGGATTTGCCTTACTGTGGCAGTTGTCCTGGATAATCTTTGCAAATTCGGACTCCCATGCTTGTCTGTGTCGGTCGAAAACAGTTTGCCTGGTTCACACTTATGTATGGGGTCCAATCTTGTCAAACATCTCCAGCCCAAATCGCATGAGCACATGAGTCTCACTCACAATTACCAGCACAGCTTGCTTCCTCTCCAACTAAGAAATTCTGATTGCTGCTGTAGTTCTTAGCAACAATGCTCCGTGCTTGAACCATGGACTTTTCTATGTGGGTGCGCTTGTTCGGCCTGGAAAAACCCGGTTTAAACAGTGAACGGAAAGCCCGTTTTATGAACCCGCGCTCCGACGAATCCCAATCCGCCCTGCACCCGTGCTCCTGTATCAGATGAATGCTAGGAAGAACCATATTGCTGCCCAAATAGCAGCAGTAGCAGCAGCAACCATCACGGTCCTGAAAAACATGCCATTTAATCTGAATATTCCGTCCCAAAGGCCCCAGCCCCTAAATTCCCAAATCCTTGACATGGCTCGGCTCCTGACATCTCTGCCTCTTCCTGCGAGCTGTCCTCGATCACTTGACAGAGGACACCTGGCTTCTGGCTTGCGGCTCATGTCAAAATTCATGAAGTTCAGCAAGTTCCGGGACTACGGCTCAGGGCATAGGATTTCAGATTGGGAGGGGGTTGGGGGGCAAATAGGGATTCCTTTATGTCAAATCATTCGTGCTAGCTGAGACTACAGCAGCAAAACAATGATACAGCGAATGGATGGTGACCAGGGTCTGCGGTTAATTTGACTGCTGCTTGATAGTTAATGTTTGGGGCTTGCCGCATTGAACCTGTACGGATTTTGCTGGCATCGTGCTCGGTGTTTAGCGGCGAAAATCTGAAGACGGGTTTCATATGCCTTCGTTTCGGAGTGCCAGCGTTGCATTGCCTGGGCTGGACCTTGAACCAGCCAACCGGACGGTAGGAACCGATGTGACCTGTTAAAGAACCGAACCGCTGGGAATTGCGGGAAACCGAACCATGGGAAGGTTCCTATTCAAAATCCCGTTATTTAGGTACGTAAATGGTTTAAACACTAAACCGCGCAAGTGGTTCAGATAGATTAGTGAGGCGCACTGCCAGCCTCATATAATTTCAAGCAAAGGGAGCCATATAATACACCAAATACGCCCTGGCAGCATATGAGACATGGATGCCTTACAATGGTTTTACATACTTTATAGGGGATTTTGAGTTTGAGGTTTATATAGAGCTAAAGGTGGTAGGGTTCATACAAGTTGTACGGTTTAGACGGCTATTTCAAAACCAACAATTAGCAGTGGACGTATTCATATACTCTCTCTCTCTCTTGCTCTATATGTATTTGCACCCCCCCCCCCCCTTAAAGCCTACCGTCTATCAGCAAATCATAGCCTGCGCGGTAGATTTGACTAATTTTCTACCTTTTTTGCTACGGTATAAATTATATAGAATACAGCATTGCGTGAGACTGGCCTTACGGCACTCTGAAACATCCATAGAAGGAGTTTTGGGCGTCACGGCGCGCTCCCTCAAGATCCTGAAGGAGTTTTGGGCGTCACGGTGCGCTCTCTCATGATGTTTGAGGAGTTTTGGGCGTCACGGTGCGCTCTCTCATGATGTTTGGGGAGTTTTGGGC